GTTACCAGGTGTCTTGAGTACTAAGGAGGTGTTTATACTTGTTTGTGTACTTTGAACCATGATGTCTTTTTGTCCGCCTTGCTTTGGGTATAAAAAGGCTGTGAATAATAAACTCAGGGCGACTATGGTATTGACTCAGAGCTCTCCCGATGCTATTCTGTGTCTCTGTCTTTTTCTTTGACATCTATGTCTCTATTTTTCATATCTATTATTTCTCAGTCCACACTCCCCTATACCAAGGACTGTCCAAAGGTCGAGCTGAACTCAACAATATAGTAGTCATTTTAAATACATTATTAATGAGAACTGTATATCTTTGAGAAAATTATGTAGTTTAAAAAATTAAGTCACTTTAAAATGTTTATTTCTGGCCGGGCAGTGGTGGTGCACGCCTTTAATCCCAGCACTCGGGAGGCAGAGCCAGGCGGATCTCTGTGAGTTCGAGGTCAGCCTGGGCTACCAAGTGAGCTCCAGGAAAGGCGCAAAACTACACAGAGAAACCCTGTCTCGAAAAACCAAAAAAAAAAAAATGTTTATTTCTGTATATGCCTATTTATAGCTACCATCCATCTATCTATCTATCTATCTATCTATCTATCTATCTATCTATCTATCTATCATCATCATCATCATCTCTATGTATATATGTATATATGTATCATCTCTATGTATGTATGTATCTATCTCTATGTATGTGTGCATGCATTTATCTGTCTGACTATCTCTTTTTATCTATCTATCTATCTATCTATCTATCTATCTATCTATCTATCTATCTATCTATCTATCTATCCACCTTAAAAATAATAAGAATGTGGAACTGGAGAGATAGGTCAGTGGTTAAGAGGACTTGATGCTCTTCTAGGGGACCCACAATAGATTCCCAGCACCCACATGGTAGCTTACAACAGTCTGTAACTTCAATTACAGGAGATCTGATATTCTTTTCTGGCCTCTAAGGGCACCAGGGACACATGTGGTGCACAGACATACATATAGGCCAAACACCCATATATTAAAAAAAAGAAAAAAAGAATGGTATCAGCATGTAGCTTTTTGAACATAAGATGACATAGATCACATAAGGCAGATTATATGAAACCCTTAGAAACACATCAACATCTGCCAGTACATGACAACACACTCAAGTAACATGTGTTTACATTTAACCATCAAGAAGGGCAAAATGTTAGGATCCCGCACATGTGCAGCTTGGGGTCTTGCGTCTTACATCATCATCAGGTGCTGGTGACTATGTCCCTGCCTTAAAAAGCCGAACGTGGACCCCCATTCTCTCTCTGTGTTCTCTCTCTGTTCCCTCTCTGCTCTGCTCTGCTCCCTCCCCCCAGGCCTGGCTCCCCCCTTTCCCTTTCCCTCCCTTCCCCTCCTAATAAAGCTCTAAAAGTACCACTGGGTTCTGTCGTGACTGTGGCCTTTTCATTAGGTAACCAGCACTGCCACCAGTGCCGTTTATCATAACCATCACAAAGGACAGAGTGAAATTTGTCATCTGGACAGAAAGCGTGGGACTTTGGGAAGAGTTTTGCTGTAAAAGGGAGGTGTGGCTGGGAGCCAGTTTGGTCAGCTTAACTTAAAAACAATTAAAACAAAAAGACGATGCTGTGTGTGCATCTGAGAGCTTCAGGGTAGGGAGGGGTGTGGATATTGTGCAGGTAGGGAGAGGAAGGGAAACAGATGTATGTGGTCTGAGGGATTCTTGCAGGGCAGAGAAACAGTTTAGAGATATATGGATTGAACATAGAGATTAGCTTTCAACAGTAACAATAACTTAGGGAGTGAGCCAAGGTGGGGATGGAGCCTAATGAATGAGGGACTCTGCATACTAATACAACTGTTGTGGGCCATAAACCCTGGGTTTATATTGGCAATAAGTGGAGGACACTCATCCCTTTGGAGGGAAAAGCTGTGTTGGGTTCAGCACCGGAGGCAGATCTGGGTGGGATGCCCCTGTGGGAAGTGGAGAGAAATGGAAGCTTTTTTTTTTTTGGTTTTTTGAGACAGGGTTTCTCTGTGTAGCTTTTCACCTTTCCTGGATCTCACTCTGTAGACCAGGCTGGCCTTGAACTCACAAAGATCCGCCTGCCTCTGCTTCCCGAGTGCTGGGATTAAAGGCATGTGCCACCACTGCCCGGTGAGAAATGGAAGCTTTGATAGAAAATTCTCAGGGTGTAGGGGTAGGGGGGATGAGAGGAGAAAGTCACAGGGTGAGGAAGGAACCTGAGTGTGACATCTGGAGAAGCTGGAGCCTTCATCATCTGGTCAGAGCAGGGGCTTTGGCTAGAATGATGGGTGGGGGAGGTGCAGTGGACCCCAGACAGAGGGCCTTTTCTAGAGGAGCCAGAGTTGTTGTAACCAGAGGCTAGTAGGAGGGCTTTTATGGAGGAGGAGAACTTGAAGGGTGGAGGCAGGAGAGCAGAGAGATGTGTACTAGGATGGGAGATAAAGTATTGAAAGCAAGGTACCTTGCCTCCCTGTGGTAGTTGGCATATAATTGACCCCCATAAGCTCACAGGGAGTGGCACTATTAGGAGGTGTGGCTTTGTTGGAGTGGGTATGGCCTTGTTGGAGGAAGTATGTCACTGTGTGGGTGAGCTTTGAGGTTTCCTATGCTCAGGATACCACCCAGTGCCTCAGTCAATTTCCTGTTGTCTGCAAGCCAAGATGTAGGATTCTCAGCTCCAGCACCACATCTGCCTGCACTCTGCCATGCTCCCCATCATGATAATGGACTGAACCTCTGAAACTCCAGGTAAGCCACCACAGTTAAATGTTTCCTTATAAGAGTTGCTGTAGCTGGGCAGTGGTGGCACACGCCTTTAATCCCAGCACCCGGGAGGCAGAGGCGGGCGGATCTCTGTGAGTTCGACGCCAACCTGGTCTACAGAGTGAGATCCAGGACAGGCACCAAAACTACAGAGAAACCCTGTCTCGGAAAACCAAAAAGAGTTGCTGTGGTCATGGTGTCTTTTCACAGCAATAGAGACGCTAAGATACACCCCCTTTAATTTTAATTAAATTTATTTATTTATTTATTTATTTATTTATTTATTTATTTATTTATTTATTTATTTATTTTGTAGCACAGTAATGAAAGTTCAATGTCCCATTTTGGGCAGATATTTCAGCTAGACCATGTCACAGCATAACATGAGGCACTGTGATTTAATGATTAAATTTTGGATGAAACATACCAAAGAAGAATGTCTACTAACAGTTTCAGAGGATTGCAAGCCAATGCCTATGAGGAGGGGTGACCAAGGAGACTTTTCCTGACTGAAAGTAGGCCAAAAGGAATGGTGTTCCCAGACCCAGTGGCTCCATTTAGTCTGGTCGGTGAGAGGAGGGACTGTCCACCTGGCACCCAGCTTCCTGAGAGCTGTTAGAAAGGAAGAAGGGAAACACATCTCAAGGCTCACCAAAACCAGGGAAGGTAGCATGGATGCAACGAGGAAATGGAAATGGCTGGTACCTGCTGGGGTTGCTTAAGGGGAAGGGGGAAAGGGAGGGAGGGAGAGGCAGAGGAGAGCTCTGATTGGAGAGTCTACACGCCAACTTCCTATTTAGGCCACCAAATGCAAAACTGGCAAATAGGAAAGACAGACCAGGCAATGAGCACATCAAGGATAGTTGGGGAGAAAAATGTGCAGAAGGGTCTCTGGGGTAAGAATCAGGGCCTGGTGTTTGCTTACAGGCTTGGGTAGTTACAATGCAGAAAGGAAGAGGGAAGAGAGTTGAAAAGTTTCCTTTTTTGGTCCATAGCTGTTGCTAGGGGGAACCTAAGAGTGGCGAGTTAAAGGATATCATATGCAGCCGGGCGGTGGCGCACGCCTTTAATCCCAGCACCCGGGAGGCAGAGCCAGGCAGATCTCTGTGAGTTCGAGGCCAGCTTGCTCTAGAGTTCCAGGACAGCCTGGGTCCACCAGGTAAAGTGGGGAGGGCAAGAAGAAGAAAGGTAAGTAATCTTAGTTCTAGAACTCAGGCACTTCAGTTTCAGGAACTGTCCTTGTTTAACCAAGATGTTGTGGCCGTGGCTAACAGTTCTCAGTGTTATGGGGATGCGGCACTGTGTGGGCTCTGAGGAGAGGTCAGGCCCATGAAGCCAAGTGGAAGTCCCTTCTTACAAGATTCCAGCCAGGGACGGGGGTCTCATAGTGTGTAATTAGTGGGTAGTCCATAGTCAGACTATATGATTTCCTGGATGAGGAGAGAAGATTTGGTCCTTAACTAATGGGTGTCCTGTCATTAGAGGGTACTTGTCAGTTTCCTGGGGGGGCAGCTGAACTCTTGGGGAAATGAGGATTGTAGACTCACACTCACAGTAGAGAGCTTGTCTTTCTTGTGTTTGTTTGTTTCTTTTTTTTTTGAAGATTTATTTATATTATGTATACAGAAGAGGGCACTAGATCTCATCACAGATGGCTGTGAGCCACCATGTGGTTGCTGGGAATTGAACTCAGTACCTCTGGAAGAGCAGCCAGTGCTCTTAACCACTGAGCTGTCTCTCCAGCCCCATGTTTGTTTCTTTTTTACAGAAGTTAGGGCAGAGATAGGACACTGTAGTGAATGTGGCTTAAGTATCCTCAACCTGGCAAAACTGTTCACTGTCCCATCTGCATTTCATTCTTCCATGTGGTGCTAATGATGTGCCAGGAGTCTGCATACAATGCCACCCTAAACACCATGAGGATACCCTCCACTCCTAGCCTGTTGCTTTTTGTTACAAGTGTTCCTCTAGTGACTCCCCAGCTGTTCACCATTCAGTGAACTTATTCCTACCCTGCTCTAACAGGCAAATTCATTCACCACCAACACCATTCCTGCTGCTGTAGTGACTGGACACCCAGTCCCCTACATGCCTAGCATCTGCTGACACTGAAGGACATGGCAACAATTTGGAGGCACTGTGTATGCTACAAGGGAACAGCCCCCACCTCCCTGATCCCATAGGTAAAGAGTGAGTCAGGAAGGATACAGTGAAGTCAGGACAGATCCCGTTGTTTTTTTTTTTCACTTCAGAAAACCGTTTATGTGACTGTTGTAGCATGGAGGTTGAAGTTGGTGGTTTGGGTTGCTGGGCGTTGACGTTCACGATAGAATATGCCACTTCATCCACCTGAAAGTAAGAGTGTTGAGTGACATCAGTTCCACAGGTCAGAGCCTCACCTTGCTGGTGATCTGGCACCACTGTGCCGTGGCCTCTGTGCACGGTGAGCTGTGGGAGAGGACTCCTGTCACTCACTGTCTGACAGCCTGATGTGTGATCACTGAGGAGACAGGTTGATACCATGGAACAGGGTGAGACAGCAATGGGAACAGAGCCGGAATCAACAGAGACATCCAGGTGGGCTACAGAACAGTGCTGAACAAAAGCCAGATGTGTTGGAGGATTTGCACTGTCCTGACTGCCACCGCTCCTTGTAGGGAAGTGATAGTGAAGTGTGTTGGGGAGGGAGAGGTCATGATTCATGTACTCAGCGTGGGTGTGTTCCCTCTGATTTAAGGACTTTTATGTATGTGGGTACTCTATTGAAATGCTAACATGAGAAAAACTCTGTAAAGTTATTATAAAATAAAGGAACCAGTGTTAGCTAGTTGTGATGAGGCACTTTCCAGTCTGTTATCAGAACAGTTTTGTGCTTCATTCTGTGGGAAGGAGTCTGCACCTACACCCGACTAATGGCTTGTTATGAGTTATGAGTTGACTGCTAGATGGCATCTGAGTGGGAGGCTCGGGAGGAAAACAGCACAGTGGCCATGGTATATGCACATCCTCCCTGGCTGTACACAGACCACCCTAAGGAGGAAGGTACCAACAGCGTACATCTCAGACAACTGGCCATCAGATCACAGGGGAAAGACGACTTTGAAAACACTGACCACCTCTCTCAATTGCTAAGAAGAATATAAGTTACTATGTGGAAGGAACCTTCTGTCAAAGAACAGAGACATACAATAGTCCCCTCCTTTAGAGTCAACCCACATGGTCTGTTTGTCCTGCACAGAAAAACATCTCATGAAGGTCCCCTGTGCCAGAGACTTTAGAAGACAGCACCCGGCCCACTTTAACATGCAGCCTGTGGTCCCTGGCCATTGCCCACTCTCGCTCCTTGAGGGCCTTTCATCTGTAGTGGCCCTTTGGCCAATGTCCACCCTCACTGTTGAGCATGCCTCCCGTCATTCTCTAAGAAACCTGCCAGTCTTCTACACGACAGGATGTCTCTTGTCTGAATCCATCTGCCAGACTACAAGGGACTAGAATGCTGGGCAGAGGAGGGGTCAGAGTGAGATCCCAGAGCCTGCACTTCTGACTGGTTGGAATGGAGTCTTTCCTTTGAGGGTCAGAGCAGGCTCAGATGAGCAGAGACAAGGGTGTGGCCTTTCCTCCTTTGGGTCTGTGCTGGGAACTACACAGGGATTAGCTCACCCACACCTGTAACCTCTTTTGTAGTGGGCAGAATGCAGGTGAGCAGGCTAAGGGTGAGAGAGGTGCAGCTCCTCGTCTGATGCACGAGGAACTAAGGACACACAGTTGTGGCTCTGAGTGTCCCCATCTCTCCCAGAGACATCTGAGAGGAAGCAGGCAGTGAAAGTGGCAGCACTTACCTCATTAGGAGAGTTGTCACGTGACCTGGGGAAGCAAGAGAAGAGTCCCCAGAGCATGGAAGTGAAAAGCTCATCTAAGACTTGTGATTTGTAGTAGGAGGAGGAATTTATGCTCAGGAAAGAAAGAGAAAGAGAAGCCAGGGAGACACCAGGGGCCAGACAGACAGACAGAGAGGAAGCAGAAAACTAGGACAAACAGAATGAAAGGTAAATAGCCCTGAGGCAAAACATAGATGAATAGAAACAGTTTAAATTAAGGTAAAGGAGCTAGTTGGACAAGCCTAAGCTAAGGCTGAGCATTCATAATTAATAATAAGTCTCCATGTCTTTATTTGGGAGCTGGTTGACAGCCCCAAGAAAATGCCAGCCAGAGTCTGGGAAGAGAAGATCTGCTCTGTAAGTCAGACAGGAGACAGTGGCTGGTGTCCAGGATGCCATGGAAGGACGGGCAGGTGGTGAGACCTTTGATTCCCGAGGGTCAGTGCCTTTACTTACTGTGGGTGGATGGGTCCAGTTGTCCTCACTGAGCATGCTCTTCCTCCTCATCCTAAGGAAATGGGAGACACTGTCACTGTTGTTTGGTTCCTCAGTTGGGAAGGACCCTGGGAGCCAATGTTTCCTGGGAGCTGCTTGGTGTCCTTGCTGTGCATTCACACCATGGCTGCCACTGCCTTTCTTGGTGCTGCCTCCTTTTCCAATCTAACCAGCCCCTCCGAGCCTTTGATCCTTTTATCCCATCATATTTGCTGTTTTCTAACTGGTGCTGGGGGTGGTACTTTGGTTAAGTGGGACATCCCGGGTCCCAAAGATCTCTTCTTTTCACTGCTCTGCACATTCTGTCTTCACAACCACACCCCCTTTGTCTCCCACTGGTGGGTTCTTTTTTTCTCACTGCTTGTCCCAGGGGACCCTGATGCTCATCCCTGTAGATTCTCTGTCTGACCTTTACATTCTCCCACTGCTCTTTTTCTTTCGTCCATTCCTTTTGTTTCTTGTATTTTTTTTTGTGGCTCCTTTTTTGCTGACTGGAAGACAGAGAAATACAATGGGTCTTTTGTTCTAAGCCCTGTGGGAATGGGAATGGCCATGACCAGCAGAGAGTGGGGTTTAGAGAGCGGGAAGGCAGGGATTTAAGAACCCCATGAATTAGTGAGAAGCCAGCACTTAGGAAAGGCAAGAAGAAATCCAGTCTAGAGACAGACACAGATAAAGAAAACCTTTTCCGTTCTCAAGCAAGGAGGAAATAGAAGAGGAAATGTCACCATACTGGTTAAGTTTCTTGAAAAACACGAAGTATGCCAGGCCTCCTAGGATAGCCAGCCCAGCCAGAACTTCAACAGCCAAGGCAGCAGCAACCGGAACTGACATGGGGAAATTTCTCTGTGATGGTTGATCTGTTGTGGAAAAATTCAGAAGAAGGAAGAAAGAATCAGAGTACACAGGCATCTGGGGAAGCTTGCTCAGCATGGTGTGTGATCCCTGTCTGTTTCTTTGTGTGCATTTTCTGTAAGAAGGTTGGCTGGGTGAAGGGAGGCATGAGTCGGAATGCAGCGGCGGCGGCGGCAGCACATGCCTTGAAACCCAGCACTTGGGAGGCAGAGGCAGGTGGATCTCTGTGAGTTCAAGGCCAGCCTGGTCTACAGAGTGAGTTCTATGACAACCAGGGCTGTTACAGAGAAACCCTATCTCAAACCCGCCCCCCTAAAAAAAGAAGAAAAAAGAAAACTGAATATCAGTACCAAATAGCTTTCCCCTAGTACCATCTGAAAAAACAGTGCTAAACAGATCAGAGACCTAAATTAAAGAACTAAAAATGCTAAAGCTTTTAGAAAAAGGTAAAAGCTTCATGGCATTGGATTTGGCTGTGCTTTTTTGACTGTGACAGCAAAGCAGAGGTGTCAATAGCAACCAAACAATAAATTAGGCATCCTGAAAAGGGAAGACTTCTGGGCATCAAGGGCTTGTCAGCTATCTGATGTTGTGCTTTACAGGCTTTAGTTGCATGCTTGTCCAAATCATTCAGATGAGAGAGAATAACTGCCTCATGAAGAGCAGGTCCTACTGTGGACCTCCGCAAAGCCACTAAAGCCCTCTGCCTGTCGGGAGCTTCTTCCCGAACGCAGCTGTCTGTGGCTCAGTAAACTGCCTGTTGACTGCTGCCTCTGCATTCCCAATTTTCTTAGAAACAGCTGTCCTGTCATCTTCCACGTCCTGATATTGCTGGGGACTTTGTGTGATGGTAACAGTGTCCTAATAGCTCATATCAGCCAGTCAATCCCAGGCTGATTTCTGCCACAGTCCGTCAGGTTATAGAGCCTTTGTCTCGGGACAGGTGGGTGGTTACATTGCTCAGGTTCTCCATTTCCCTGGTACTCAGACCAATCCCTCCACACTCAGGCCAGAATCCTCATGATCTAGGCTCCGACTAGAGCTCTCATTGTTTGCTTAAAAACCTTTCCCAATTCAAGCACTTGAGGGGCTGAGTATTCAACAATCATCATAGTTTCTTGTTCTGAACCTCTATTAAAGCTCCTTCTGGCTGCTGAAACATGCGATACCCTGTGTTAAAGGTCAGACCTGAGGGGATTCTATCACTCCCACCATGTTGCTTCCATGAGTTCTAAGTGAAGCTATAACCTCAAAATAAACTTTCTTCTATAGTTGCCTTGGCCACTGTGTCCTTACAGCAATAGATAAGTAACCGAGACACCACACACCCCACACTTACGACACACACACACACACACACACACACACACACACACACAAATACACCACACAGACACACACACACACCATACACACACTACATCCCTCCCCACACATACACACACACCACACCCCTCCCCACACATACACACCCACACCACATATACACACACCACACACACACCACACCCCCCACCCCTCCCTACACATACACACATACACACCACACACACCATGCATATACACACACACATACACCACAACACACCCCATCTCACACATACACACACACCACACCCCTACACACACACACACACACACACACACACACACAGCACTCACACCACACATACCTGGGATGCAAAGTGAGACTTATTCTAAAAACCCAACCAGCAACAAATAAAGCAAGACTGCTAATAGACCCAGTGATTATTGTGTATCTGGGTGTATGTCCAGGAGAGCTGGATGCAAGGGTGCAGGAATCCCCACAGACACCATCCTCACAACTGTCACACACACACACACACACACACACACACACACACACACACACACACACAGGGCTTAGGTTAGTCCCAAATGTGGCACATCCACACATCGGTACAATTATAAAATAGAATACTATTATTTTAAAAAAAATGAGCCGAGCATGGTGGCTTATGCCTTTATTTCTATCATTCAAGAGGCTGGAGCAAGAGTATTGAGAATTCAAGGCTAGACTGAAACAAAAAAAATTAGATTCCTTTCTCAAACAAACCAAAATGGTAAAATTCTGATACATGGTACATAATGGGTAAACTCTGAAAGTATTATGCTACATGAAGGGAAGCAGATATAAAAGGACTGTTCATGTGTTACTCTGCTCATGTGAGCAGGGTAGTTGGATAAATTGTAGAATGGTAGGTAAAGGGGCTGAAGGAGGAAGAGATGGGGGAACTATTGTTTTTATATATGACTGTATGTGTTCATGTGTGCACATCTGTGTGGAAACCAAAAGCTGATGTTGAGATCTTCCACAACCACTTGGCCACTTGTTTTCTTATTCTCTTTCCTTTTTTGAGACAGAGTCTCAAAATCTATAGTATACCAATTGGCTAGATTGGGTGGCTAGTAATCTCTAGGAATCCTCTGTCTCTGCCGTGCCATTTCTTACCACACCTGGTTATACATGGGTGATGGTGATTCACACACATGCTTGTCACTGTCTGTCCCCAGAGCTAACGTTGAATGGCTCTAAAGGTTTGCATGTTAAATGATAAAGTTATGAGAATGGACCATGGCTACACAGCACTGCAAATGTACTTTACACCACTGGAAAATAGCTAAAACAGGAAATGCCATATATATATATATATATATATATATATATATATATATATATATATATATATACACACACATATATATATATATAGCCACAAAAACAACATACAGAAAAGAATCTTGTGCAAGGTCACATTGTGAATGGCGGACACAGGAGAGGAAACAATGCCCTCTCCATTCACAGATTCCATCCAGAGCCCTAGATCAAGCCAAACACAGGTTAGACATATTCAGAAGAATCCAGATGTGGGGTGCACAACTGTAGGAGCAGCACCTGGGAGGTGGAGGCAGGAAGATCAAGAGTTCAAGACAATCATCATCTATATACTGTGAGGATGCCTGGGCTGCATGGGATATTATCCCCCCAAAACAAAAAGACTCCAATGAAACAAAACATTCCAGAACAATTATCTCTGCACTGAAAACTGTACAGACATTTCCTGGCATCATTTCTCACTAACAGACTAGTGCTCTTTGTGTGGGAGTCTGTCAGAGGACCAGCTCTGATCCACCGAAGGGTTCTTGTGGGGGAGGAGAGAGGAATGAGGAAGTATTAGATAGAAAGATAGAAGGAGAGGACAAGAAAGACAGAGACATAGGATAGCTTCAGGAGGGCCCTGGGTCAACACCCAGCCACCCTAAGGTTTATTCCAAAGGACTAAACATTTTATACAATGCCAAGGGGAGAGGCAAAAGATCAAAGCACAACGTACAGCCAAGTGTAGACCCTTCAAAACACCTGGTAGGCATGCCCATGGCCAAATCATCCCATTATACAGCCCTGTTGGGTAAAGCAAGCTCAGAATCTCTAACCTTGAGTAAGGCTCAAAGTGGGGACTCCCACACTTTTCCTTGTGCTGGCGCTGTGTGACGTGCTGGAATCTGAACATGATGTACAGTATGTGGGATGGCATGCAGACTTACGTGGAAACACTGATATTTTTGCAAGGAACTAGAGCATCTATCTAGAGCATAGATTCTGATATCTGTGGGCTTCCTGGAGCCAGTTACCCATGGATACCAAGGATCACATGCCTGACTCAGAGCTCAACCCTTAACCACTTTGTAATTGGGTTTACAACTTTGGTTTTATTTGCATTCAAACAGTTTGAAGATAGGGCCTTACTCTATCCTCCTGCCTCAGCCTCCTAAGTGTAGGGTAATAGGTAGGTGCTACATTGATTCACTATATTGGTGTCTCAGGTGATAGTCGTCTCCCCCCCCCCCCCCCCCCCCCCCCCCCCCCCCCCCGTGTCTGTCATCTGTTTTGCACAGTGTTAGTAAAGAATCCCCCAATAAGAGGCCTTGGAGATGCTAGAGAGGGTGCAATAGCTTAATGGAAAAAAACCTATCTGAGTTGGATCCCTATAACACAGGTAGAGATGGAAGGAAGGAACCTATTCTATAAAGTCTTCTGACCTCCACACATGCACCATGGTACTGTGCTCTACCCAATTATAGTAAAATAAAAGTGTAAGATGTCCCCTGTAAGATGTGGGAGGAATGGCTGGGCAGTGGTGGCGCACGCCTTTAATCCCAGCACTCGGGAGGCTGAGCCAGGTGGATCTCTGTGAGTTCGAGGCCAGCCTGGGCTACCAAGCGAGTTCCAGGAAAGGCGCAAAGCTACACAGAGAAACCCTGTCTCAAAAAACAAACAAAAAAACAAAAACAAAAACAAAAACAAAACAAAAAGACAAACAAACAAACAAAAAAGATGTGGGAGGAAGAGAACTTGGGTCACTCACAAAGAACATCCAGGCTGACTGGGTCACTCAACTTGGAAATGAAGGGGTTGGAGACCTCACACTGGTATGCCCCAGCATCCTCCTTTGTGATTGGGCGTATGGTGAGCCTTTGATTATTCCAGGAGAACATCACCCTGTCTGTGGCCTTCAGTCTCTCGTTATTGAACGTCCATAATATGGAAATTCCGGTATTCTCTGATACGCAGGTCAGGTCCACCAAGTGGTTTTCTAGGACAGTTCTATTTCTGATTTGGATATGGGGCTTCAGCAAATTCTCTGTGAACAAATAGAAGAGAGAGCCAACTAGAGGAGTCTTTCTGAAAAGGTTTCTGCCAGCTCGTGGGGGCCAGAGTGTACAGTGTAAGATGGCCCAGAAGTTGTCTCCAAGGCTGGAGCTGTCCTGTCTCAGTTCAGTAGACAGTCTATAGGAAGAGCAAGGGACTCACTTGTATCCCCAATCTTCTACTGTGTCCCCTGACTTGACCCCAGGGCACGTCTCTAGCTTTCATATCAAGAATCTCTTTTAGGCTCTAATATCCAACATTTTCACCACCAGGGAATACTTGACTCCTTTTGAATGCTCATTAATTTTAAATTTCCATACAAAATAGTACATTTCATTACGACACTTCTGAGAAATAGCTGTCATACTTTGCTCACACTCATTCTACATCATTTGTCCCCTCCCTTCTTGCTGGTCACTCCATCCTGCCGAATTGTCTCCCTTCACTTCTCATAGTTATATATACATACATACATACGCACACATAAACGTGTGTATATGGGTGTCTGTTATCCATGTCACCGTGGACATGGGTGTGCAGGTAACTCTGTGGTGTGCCGACTTAGAGGTTTTTGGAGTAGACACTCAGTTATGTGTAGTCCTGTTTTAGTTTTGAAGACCCTCTACTGATTCCACAGGCTCCATAGAGTAACTTAAGTTTCCACACACAGTATGTAAAGATGCTTGCCCCCAGCAATTTCTCCAGTGTTTGCTGTTTGTTTCCTTTGGGACTGGGGTGAGATGGAATCCCAGTGCAGTTTGCATTGCATTTCCCTGTTGCTAAAGTCCTGTATGTCTTCCATGCATGCGTCTATGGCCACCTGTTTCTTCATCAGAGGCATTGTCTCAACTCACTTGCCTATTTATAGATGACACGATTGTTTTTTTGGTCCATAACTTAAGCTTTATTGAAAACTTAACACCAAACAAGAGATCAAAAACTATGGGACACTTCAGGAATTTGGGTCTCATCGTTGGCTAATCTCTTCTCTGTCATTCCAGTTTCAGCATATGTGCTGACGGGTACCCCATGTCACATAAGAGCCTTGCACAAAATGGCGGAAGCTTTTTATGGGCATTTTGGGAATCATTTTAAAAAAAGCTTTTAATTTCATGTGAAAGTAATTAAACTATTTTTTAAAATTTATGAATGGTTTTCAAAAAATTTAAAGGTCTGGAGAGATGGCTCAGTGGTTAAGAGCACAGGCTGCTCTTGCAGAGGATGTGGGTTTGGTTCCCAGCACACACATGGTGGCTCACAATTGGTAACTCCAGTTCCAGGGGGTTGAATGCCCTCTTTTGGCCTCTGTGGGTACCAGGCATGTAAGTTGTGCACAGACATACATGCATGTAAAGCATGCCCACCCCCCATACATACACACAAAAAAAAAAAGAAAGAAGAAAAAAGAAGAAAAAGAAACTGAAGCCAGCAACTCATGCAGCAATTTTGTGTTTATTTTATTTAAAAGATTTTACTTTTTATTTGTGTGTATATATATGTGTCTGTGTATATGAGTACTCAAGGAGGCCAGAAGAGCTCAACTAACCCCCTGGAGATGTATAGTTAGTTGTGAGCTGCCAGTGTGCAATGAAACTCAGGTCTTCTGTAAGAGCATCAAGTACTCTTAACCACTGAGCCATCTCTTCAGCCCCTCAACAGCAATTTAAAAAACCAAGCATGAAAACACAGCTGAGCCGGGCGGTGGTGGTGCACGCCTTTAATCCCAGCACTCGGGAGGCAGAGCCAGGCGGATCTCTGTGAGTTCGAGGCCAGCCTGGGCTACCAAGTGAGTTCCAGGAAAAGGCGCAAAGCTACACAGAGAAACCCTGTCTTGAAAAACCAAAAAAAAAAAAAAAAAACACAGCTGAATCCAAAGATACACTAATTTTTATACATACCCGACAAGAAATGACAATAGGAAATATTAAAGGCCTTTATCTCCCACAACTGAACAAACACATTTGTGTAAGAGCAAAATCCTATCTCTTTTGAAAACAGGCTCTCATGAGCTCACTGTATAGCCAAGGCTGACCTTGAATTTGGGATCCTCTTGCTGCCACCTCCCATGTGTCAGAATTACAGTCTTGTGCTGCCATGGCCAGCTATAAGACATTGTATGAACTATGAAAACCGCAGTGTATTGCATGTCATGGCCTGGAAGCTGAGCATGAGGTGAGGCCATACAGTGCTCATGAGCAGTATAAAGTGTGCACAATGCATGTTGGGAACCAAGGTTACAGTGAAGCGGCATGTGTCTGCACTGTAGGAACATGTCTGGTTCATTCCCTGCGTAGGTCTGCACTGATGTCTGGTGGTTGCAGGTTCAGAAACCACTTGTGGTTGCCAATCTTCTCATGAGCCCCTTAGGCTGTGTTGACTTCTACTTGGGAAATTGGTCTCTATTCTATGCCTTTGATGGTCAAGTCTGCTTTTGTGTTCCTGTCCCTCTGCGTCTCTGAAGTGAAAATTAAAGTCAGTTATGTGATGGCTCCAGGATGGCTCTTTCTGTTAAGGATTACTCTAGGAATTCTGGATCCTTGCAAGTTCACCTAAATTTTTGGATTTTAAAAACTATTTCTGTAGAAAAAAAAGTAATAAAAATTTTGATGAGGGATTTCTCTGAATCTGTAGCTTGCTTTTGGGGCCACAGCCCTGTTTTAAATAATTTTGTCAATCATGATAATGTAACATCTTTCTATTTTTAAATGTCTTTATGTTTTTTCCCCTTGAATGTTGTCATGTAAATCTGAAATGCTACCCGAACCTCATGTTTGAAATATTTGGTCCCCATCTAGTCATACTGTTTTGGAGGTTGTGGAATTTTTAGGATAGGTGTGTTCCTGCTAGCAGATATAGGTCAGTCATGGCAGGCCTTTGAAAGCCCCTTGAAATCCCAGAAGGTCTAACTTTCTCTGCTTTCTGACCTGCCAGGATTTGAACAAGCTAAGGTACAAGCTCCCACCACTTTGAACAAAACATCCCTAACATACATTCCCCTTTTTGCCGGTTAGATTTTTGTCAACCTGACATAAGCTAGGGTCATCTGGGAAAAGGGAACATCAATTGATAAAAGGCTTCCATCAGATTGGCAAGTAGAGTATTTTTTTAAATTAATGCTTGGTGTGAAGTATCCAGCCCACTATGGGCAGTGCCACTCCTAGTAAGTGATCCTTTGTAGTGGAAGAAAGCAGGCTGAGGCCTGGCAGCTTGGTAGCTTACGCCTTTAATCCCAGCACTTGGGAGGCAGAGTCAGGTGGATCTCTGTGAGTTCAAGGTCAGCCTGGACGACAGAGCGAGTTCCAGGACAGCCAGGGCCATACACACACACACACACACACACACACACACACACACACACACACACACACACACACACACACGAAGCTGAGCAAGATAACATGGGGACCAAGATAGCAAGCAGCATTCCTTCATATCATCTGCTTCTGTTCCTGCCTCTAGGTTCCTGTCTTGTTTGAGTTCCTGCCCTGAATTCCCTCTGGGATGGACTCTAAACTATAAGCTGAAATAAATCATTTCCTTCCCAAATGGTTTTGGGTCATGGAATTTTATTAGAGAGATAGAGAATAAACGAAGAGTTCTCCACGATGAACAGATCTCCTGAATCTGCAAGTCAAAAGAAGTCTTTCCTTACGTTGTTCCTGTCACATGTTCACAGAGAGAACAAATGACAGAGAAAGCTGGGAGTATGAGTGCGGTCACTACTGTCACAAACCTGACCGTGTGTGTGTGTGTGTGTGTGTGTGTGTGTGTGTGTGTGTGTGTGTGTGTGTGTGGCCAGCTTTTGGAACTGGTTTGTGGGATGAGTGGGAGAATCCAACTGTGTCTAGAGAATGGACTAACCTTTGGCGGGGAGGAAATGGAGGGAACACAGCATTCATTGAGCAGCATGGGTTCCATTGGAAGTCAGGTTTACAGTGAGGAGCAAAGAGCAGAGAAGAATCATCTGTGACAGCTCCTGCTCTGGTGGGGATGGCTACACATCTCTGGCAGCCAGCAGAACTTAGAGTCATCCTGAGGTACTGTGTATATAGAACTCAAGATTCCAGGGTGACCAGGACTGGTGGAGCTCCAATAATGCCACCAGGTGCTCCCGAGGCAGATGGCACCATAGGATTTAATGTATACTGTGTTGGGTTTCTTTCTCTTTAAAAAAAATTCTTTTAAAATTGTTTATCAATTTAGCCCCCCCCTCCCGCCCGTGTTTCTGAGCTATGGTGTGCATGTGTTAGGACAACTTGCAGGACTTGGAGCTCTTCTATGGGGGTGCTGGTGGTTGCATTAAGGTTAGCAAGACTTGGTGGCAGCCATCTTACCTGGGGATCCATCAGACCTGGGTTTTACTCTATTTTTATTTTTTAAATTATTATTATTATTATTGTTATTATTGGTTTTTCGAGACATGATTTCTCTGTGTAACTTCGGTGCCTCTCCTGGAATTCACTCTGTAGACCAGGCTGGCCTCAAACTCACAGAGATCCATCTGGCTCTGCCTCCTGAGTGCTGGGATTAAAGGCTTGCAGCACCACCACCTGGCTCTTATTTTTATTTTTAACTGCTGTCCTCTATCTGTCCTTTTGGAAATGGGAATGACTACATTGAATCATTTTATATTGGGAGTGTGTAAGTTCCTTTTGTATTTTATAGGGGTTCACAGCTAAGAGTTTCCAGGAGTTTCAAAAGACACTTTAGGTTTTAAAAAGTGTTGATGATGTTACAACTATGGGAATTCTTAAATCAAACACATCTTCTGAAAGGGTTACAAACCTTTGGGGACAGGGTATAATATGTGTTGAACCTGAAATGTTGCCCTCGGGCATCCATGTTTTATGCATTGGACCCCAGCTGGTGGTGTGGAGAAATTCAGGAATCTTTTGGACGTGATCTTCTGGGTGAGTGTAGGCCACCATGGGTAGACCTACCCTAGTTCTGGTTTAGCCTCCTCCTCTTGTTTGCTGAGCTGTAAACACACGCTAGGATGGAGAGAGCTGGGCTAAGCATTTGTTAATTTCATTTGTCTTTTCAAAGAACTAACTCATTTCATTCATTTTTTTAAACTTTTGTATTTTTTCTGTGAATGGATGTTTTGCCTCCATGTATGTCTGTGATGCTCATGAAGACCAGAAGGGGACATCAGATTCCCTGGAACTGGAGTTATAGACAGTTACGAGCCTCCAGGTGGTGCCGGGAATCTAATGAGGGTCCTCTGCAAGAGCAGCCATTGCTCTGAAACCCTGTGCCATCTCTCCAGCCTCTCACTGATTTTTATGTCCTAATCTGTGTTATATTAATTTCTATGTCAATGATGCCATTCCATATACTGGTTTTGTGCGCGTTATTTTTTCTATGATCTTCAAGTCTATCAATAAGTTATTTGAGTTTTTTCTTTTTTTCTGTTTGGTTTTGTTGCAGCAGAGTCACTTGTAGCTGAAGCTGTCCTTGAACTTGCTATGTATCTGATGATGACTTTGAACTCTTAATCTTCCTTCCTTTTCCTCTTTTCTTGGATAATGGCATATGCCACAATGTCTCTGCCTGAACTTATAATGTGAGCACTCATAACTATACGCTTTCTCTTAGAATCATCTTTCCTGTATCACAAACCTTCTGAAAATTAGTATTTTAATTTTCTTTTGATTCTAGAAATTTTTGAGTTCCCTCTCTGGTTTTTCAATAAGACCGATCATTCAAAAGTATTCAGTTGTTAGATCTTCATGAATTTGTATAGTTTCTGTGTTTTCTCTCACTGTTAATTTGTAGTATTATTCCAAATGGTCTGAGAAGGCAGGAGAAGTGTTTTTAATATTCACTAGGGCGTAGTGTATGGCCTTAAAGTGTGATCTATGTTAGAGAGCATTACAGGAGATACTGAGTATGTTTATTCCATGTTCCTGGGTGGAATATCATCTTGATATTTATTAAGTCTATTCCATAGTGTGGTTTCGTTCTGGTTCTCATCTATTGAGAATGGAGTATTGAAGTTATTCTGTATTATTGTGTCTGTCTATGTCCAATCCTATTTTTTTGTTTTGTTTTGTTTTGGTTTTTTGAGACAGGTATCTTTAGAGTCTGTCCTGGAACTCTGTAGACCAGGCTGGCCTCAAACTCACAGAGACTCTCCTGCCTCTGCCTCCCGAGTGCTGGGATTAAAGGTGTGTGCCACCACCACCTGGCTTACTTAAAATTCTTGATGGATCATTCCCTTTGTTGGTACCTTATCTCTTAAGGGTAATTTTGCCTTGAAATCTACTTTATATAGGTATAGCAACTCCTTGTTTTTGGTTCCTTCTTGGTATGTTGACTTCCATATATTCACTTTCAGTGCGTGTCTGTGTTTGCCAGTGATGTATGATTCTTACAGATAATAGTTGTATTGCATTGCCACACAGTGCACCTGTGTGTGTGCAAAGGCGTGTATGTATGTGTGTATACGTGTCTGTGTTTTTCAGTGAGGTATGATTCATATGGATATTAGTTTGTAGAGTTTATGTGTGTGAGTGCATATGTGTTCTCAAAGGTGTGTATATGTTTGTATTTTGTGCACATATGTGTGTGTGCATTTTAAAAATACAGTCAGCTAGTCCTCCTTCAAGCATTGCATTGGGGCCATTTTCCTGGAGCTATGGGTGACGTTACTTGGCTGGTATTTGTAAATTTGCTATTTTATTTTCCTTATTGTTCAGAATGTCAATTATTCTTCTCTTTCTTTTCTATTCAGATTAGGAATTTACTCATTTGCTGAGTTGGACATGGCTGAATGTTTTACAGTTATCCTTTGCTCATTGATTATTCTCATGAAAGATGTTCCTGCCAGTGCTGTCATGGTTGAGACTTGCTCCTTGTCTGGTGTGTCTGGTTCCTTCTAGTGTTGTCTGAAGCACTAAGTGGTCAGAATTGATGTCATTTGTGCTTGTCTAGGAAGAGTTTTACTTCTATATATATATATAATATATATAATATATTTAATTTAATATATATTAAAATAAATGGTCTTTATTTTATCTGTTATTTTAAAAAATGTGTATCAATGTCTGTGTTGCATGTATTTATGTGCACCATGTGTGTGCCTGATGCCAACAGAGGTCAGAAGAGGGCGTCAGATCTTCTAGAACTGGAATTACAGGTGGTTATAAACCACCATGTCGGTGCTGGGAACTGAACCTAGGCCCCCTGCAAGAGCAGCAAGTCATCTTAACCCCTGAGCCATCTCCCTAGCCATTCTCCATTGATTTTAAAAGACTATTCTGCTGAATATAGTGATCTTGTCTGTAGATTATTTACTTTCAGGTTTTGAAACATATTATTCAATATTTTCCCGGCTTTCAGGGTTTCTGCTGAGGGGTCTTGATACTCTGACAGGCTTGTCTTTGAGTGAACATTTTTTTTCTCTTGCAGCTTTTTGTAATTTTTCTTTGTTTTATAGCCTTAGATTTTAGGCATAATGTATCATGGGGAGGTCCATTTATTGTCATTTCTCTTTGTGATTCAAAATGGCTTTTTCTGCTCCAGTGTCAACTTCTTTCCCTGGCTCTGGCCCATTTTTCTGGTGGAATTCCATTGAAGAATTTTACTGGGCTTTTAGTTAGTGTCTTAGATTCTTCTACCCTGGGCATTCTCCAGTATAGTCTGTTGGTCATGTCTCAGAATGGGCCAATGGGCTAGGTCGAGGATACTGTCTGTTCTTCCCTCACCAACCTTGGGGTTCCAAATGCCTGCTGCCTTATCTGCCTTTATGTGGGTGTTGGGGATCTGAAATTGTTTCCACCTCTTTGCAATGTTAAACACTTTATTGGATGAGCCATCTCATTGGACTCTTCCATATTTCCGTTCCCTCCCACAGTGAACCACATTTACTGGTGTACCATATTTATAGAGTCCACAATTTCCCATGACACATTGGCTGAGCTAGGACCCGGCTTTGAGACATCTACCTCAAAGCTCACTTTTTTCTCATTATCATTCTTCTGCCCCCATGGAGGTTCTGGCATTGATTGGCTTCAGACTTTATTCAGATTCAGGATAGCCCTTTCAGGATAATTCTCCACCCATCCTGTCCTACTCTAGATGGGGTCAAAACAGAGCCAGTCACTAGGGCAGGAGCAGAGCTGTGAAGAGCTGTGAACTCCTATCTACCATCTTTCTGTTGGGCAAAGTGTTTCCATCCCAAAGGTGGAAAAATAAAAACAGTGTGAACATGTTCTGAGTCTGGGTGTTTTCTTGTATATTATGAAGAGTGTAAAGGATAAGAGGAGACATGGAGGATGAAGGGGTAACAGAGAGAGGGCCCTACTTCTTCCCTGAGCAGCACTAACACTGCCTGAGGCTTGTGGAATTTAGAGCTCTCCTCTTCTCCAATCCATGCTGAACTCCAAGTCAACAGAGAGAAGTCAGTGTATTCAGTGGAAGAGAGTGTCTGCTGGATCAAGGCACACCTTAGGGGAGGACTGGGGTTTGCTTGCAACTGTGGACATGGGCTGTGGAGTTCCTTCCTCCCTGTTCTTTACAGAAAATTAGACTGTACCCCAGAGTCTGGTTCTGATGTTACAAGAAGCCACTTACCAACTATTGTAATTTCTTTGACTTTGAAATCATTGCGGCCAGTTGTTGGGTTGTTGACGTGGCAGGTATATAATCCACTATTACTCATGTTGACCTTGTGGATAAAGATATCTTGTCTAGAACTCCAGTGTTCTCCATTGACATTCCAGGAATACTGTGCTTTGGGGTGAGAGGTCGCCTGGCAGGATAGCCACAGGTTTTTCCCTTCCTCAAAGTATTTGTCTGGGGGAAATATTTGGGGGTTATCTGGGCCGTCTGGAGGAAAGAGAAAGACACATGGTGCCATGAAAGGATAAAGAAAGATCCTGGTTTGTAGGTCAGTGCATCCCTGAGTCAGGTGACAGCCTTTCTTTACAATTATCTGAAGCAGGGCTGTCAATTAGATCCAGTGTAAAACAATTGTCCCAAAGGACTCGGGTCCCTCTCTAACATTCCAAAAGCACACATGGAGGATATCACCCACACCCTGTAAATTAAAACCTTAAACATGTAGCCTGCCCTGATTTCCATCACTCAGAGTGATCCCGAGCCTCTCCAGAATGGATCTACCCCTCTGCCATCTGTCCAAGGCTTGGCCTGCCAGGATGTGCTTGGAGCAGATGGCGTTGGCAGTCTGGTTCAGGGGCAAGAATCAGTGTCATGGACCCGAGCAGTGCATGTGTATTGAGAAGCTGATATGAGAGAGAAATAGAAGTTACTCACAGAAAACATCCAGAGTGAATGGGTTACTCCGAAAGACACCCAGTGGGTTCTGGACTTTACACTCATAGCGTCCTTTTAAATGTCTGGAGACCTTGAGTAAAGTGAGAGTTGTGTTACCCTGGGACAGGCTGACGTTGGTGTCACCTGGGAGTTCCTTACCGTTTAGCCGCCACGTGTAGGTTGTTTTCAGGAAGGGAGGGTCACAAGTTATTTCAACAGTGTCTTGCCCCTCCACTGCTGTGGTCCCATTGCTTCTTATGGAGGGTTTGGATAGCTGAGCTGTGTAGACAACAGAGAAAAGAATAATCTGTGTGGTACTGGACACATATAAGGGTGGACCTTTCTCCCCACAGACAGGTGCCTGAGGCTCTGGGGACTGAGCCCTTGGGGTCACCTGCACTGGGTGTGGGGGGAGTACTGACTTTCTCACCTGTGAACTGAGCTGCAGTGTTTGCTTGTGGACTGACCCAGGAACTGCAGCAGCAGCTCCGCCTGGCTTTCCTGGTCCCCACTGCCTGACCTTAGGCCATGGGGTGCTTGGCTCCCTCCAGCTGGGTTGCTCTCCACTGCTCAGCCTGAGCATGAGTCCTCTGAGGCTTTGCTTTTCAAGGCTGTTTTGGTGAGCGACCATGGGACATCCCATTGTGCTTAAACCCTGCGAAGCACCCAGTGTCAGGTTTCTGTATTGCATGGGTTGGTTAAAGAAAGAGGGTCACTCCAAGATGAATTTTAGGTTCTCTGGCAGCAGGGAGGAAGTTTCTGTGAACTGAACCCTGAAGAGCCATGCAAAGGTGTATTTATTGTTACACTTTTTGGAGGGGGGTAAATCAAGTTCCTCATACCAAAGTCCTTCTTCTAATCTATATGTTTTCTGAAGGAAAATATCACATGCTTGTCATTTTAGTCCTTGTTGTGTACTGTTTGCAGTCCCCAATAATGCAAGATCTGCAAGGGTACCAGGACCATCTTGTGACAAAAGTCATGCAAAGGCTGTAAAACTCCTTCAGAAAAACAACTCTATAGAGAACAGAAAACAACCAGTTTCCACAATGATTTCTTCAAGGTCAAAGTACTTCTAGAAAACAACTCTTCATTTTGATGTTTAACCCTAGATACAGTGAAAATCAATTATTTTGTTCTAACATTTACTCTAGATACAATGATTCTGCTAGATTCCTACAATACCACAGTCTATTCTGAGCACTGGAGGGATGATCAGAAATTGCACACAGAAGACTTAAAGCAAGCTTCATATTGGCTCAGCGGTCATCCTGGACCCCAGTGTCACAGTGAAGGGGACGGACAGAATCGTGCTCCTGTTTTTAAGAGGAATGGCTCTCTAGAGTGTAGTTAAGTCTTAGGCCAAAGTCTGAAGTCCTTCAGGGTGACATGTGGTTCTTCTGTAGAGGGGTCTGTGAGTCCTGCTACAGGGACAGAACCATGCACAGGGAAGTCTGCCTCATCTGTTACATTAAATGTAGAAAAAATCAAGTTGTATTAGTAAGTTTCAAAGAGTGGATGTCCGCAGCTGCTCTGGAGAGTGACAAGGCAAAGTGGACAAGATCCAGTAAATGCATGTGAAATGGCTTCATCCATTTACTTTTGACCCCACAAGCCACAACTCCAGCTGTGTCAAATTCTCCCAGCTGGGGTAAATTGCCAACACACTCCTGGATTTGAGTTGACAACAGCTTTGGCGTGTCGCGGCGTAACTCACTTTGTTGTAATAGTGACATCCTTAGAACAACACAGTTGCATATGGAAGTGGGTTAGCCCAAGCCAGCCCTGGTTGAAACAGCTCCCTCTTGAAGGTTCTAGGAAGTAGTGACATATTGAAAAGGGGCCAGGAGCTTTGTGGCTTCTAGCCTCAGTCTTTCTGTAAATAATCGGTATATTGTAAATCACTATAGTGAATCGAAGTGATTTCTCTGCCCTGGGTGTGGCTTGTATCACATGCTAGCCACAGAAGAGCCTGGGTCAGACACAGGCAGCTAGACCTCTGGCTAATGGTGGAGCCTCATAGAAGCTTCTGCTCTGCTGTTGTCTGTGTCCACAGGGAGGGTCTGGCTGCAGGTGTTGGTAGGAAGGGAACTGGACAGTCAGCCACTACTGTGGGAAGGTAAGAGAGAAACAAGCTGGGCAAGGGTGTTGTGAAATATTATTTTAACTAGACAAAGATGTGTTACATTTGTTTATGCTACAGAATATTATTTTAACTGTGTAAAGGTGTGTTACATTTGTTTTTTGCTGCATTTGTTTAGTGATGTAAGGGTGTGTGTTTGATTATGGAAAGATGTGTTGCATCTGTTTCACCTTGCGTGCCTAAGGCACCTGATTGGTCTAATAAAGAGCTGAACAGCCAATAGCTAGTCAGAGAATGAATAGGTGGGGCAGAGAGAATAAATAGGAGGAGAAATGTAGGCCAGAGAGAGAAGAATAAGAGAAGAAGGAGGAGAGAATGAGGGACATGCTCAGGATAAGAAGCCAGGCAGCTGCCAGGCAGCCGCCAGGCATCCACCAGCCAGAGATAGAGACAGCAAGAAAATAACAAAGGTAAAAAGCCCAGAGGCAAAACATAGATAAACAAATTAAAATAAGAGCTAAAATAAGGCCAAGTATTCATAACTAATATAAAGTCTCTGTATCATGATTTGGGAGCTGGTTGGTGGCCCAAAAGAAAAAAACCTGGTACACAAGGGAGGTACAGTCCCACTTGTAATAAGAGAGGAAAGTGATGGGTAACTAGAAGAGAGATTGAGGGGTCTCACAGTGACTTCTGAGCCCCCACAGATCACAAATTTCACAGCTACCTCAGGAGCAAACCAGAAACTCTGAACTAGAAGTCAACTTGTGAAATGGCTCCTGGGGTGGCCTTAGGAGCAGGTGTTCACAGGAATGGCACAGGATCTACCTCCAGTGTGGACAGAATGGGTGTGTCCAGAGCTCTAGACTCTATATGCATTGTAGCATCTAAAAAGCTTGCAGGTTCATTCACTCACTCACTGCTCACTCCTCAGTATGGAGTCTGAGCTGGTCTAGAGCACTTGGTAGTCTTCCCATCCTGACCTTGCAAGTGCTGGGATTGAAGGCTAACGCCATCTTGCCTGACTTTCCCTGATTCTTTATCACACAACTATTAGGAGTTGTCTATACTTTGGGACCTGTCCAGGATTCAGTGGAGAGGGAGAAAGAACTGCTGTTTTCTTTATCCTCTAAAGGGAGCTCTCTCCCCACCCCCACCCATCAATCAAAGAGATACATGATTTTAAGTAGAATAAGCTAGCATGTAGCTGGAGGAGATGGCCAAGACATTCTCCTGATTCTTGTGATTCTGTTGCAGAATAAAAAGGATTGTGTATGTACTCTAACCCACACAACAGTCTCTCTCCCAAGCTTCCCATCTGAGGAAAGCACCCGACTCAGCAGCTCCACAGGTGCCTCAGAGGAAAAGGAAACCGAGTCATAGACAAGGACTGTGCTGTTGGCAAACATCTCGTCCTCTGCCCATCGCTCATGCCCTCTGTGGCCCAGATTCAGCAGCTGCATTTCCCCACACTTTGTTTCCTTTCAGTGGGGTGGCTGTGGTGGGGATTACTAACTTGTCTATAGATGACCCTCACAGTGCTCACAGTCACCTGATCTTGGTAAAAAGACCTCTTGTGTGAGGACCCAGGTCCCTTAGCCAGTCCTTGACTGAGTCCTCAGGATCTTCCTCAGAGCCATGGTCCCTGGGACAGGGACCAGGTGTGGGCAGACTTCCCCTTCACGATAGCTGCTCTCCAAAGTGTGGATGCAGGGGAAGGAGTCTCCTCTTTTCAAGTCTGTTTTCACCATGTGTGTCCTCCACTAAGTGCTCAAAGCATAGTAAGTGACCATGATGCAGAGAAGATGTAGGCATGGTCAGGACTGAAAGTGTGTGTGTGTGTGTGTGTGTGTGTGTGTGTGTGTGTGTGTGTGTGTGTGTGTGAGAGAGAGAGAGAGAGAGAGAGAGAGAGAGAGAATAGAGAGAGAGAGAAAGAGAAATGCAATGAGCCCCACTTAGCTGCTAGAGACCACAGGGAATAGGGAATTGCAGGAATCACTTACGGTATATGGAGACTTCCACAAGCATTGATTTTTGGTCAGACTCTGCAGAACGGATATTTAGGTTGTAGATTCCAGATTGCTTCAAGGTGACATTCTGTAACATCAAGGATCCATTAGGGTATAGTGTCTCTCTGCCACTGTGTAGTTTTCCTTGTTTGGTTTCTTGAGATTTTATTTCATGCATTATAATTAGATCTTTGTCCAGTGGCTCTTTCCCTTTGAACCAGTGATAGGCTGAAAGGTTGTCTGGCAGATTGTGAGCAAGTAGAAGGACGTTCTTCCCTTCGAGGACAGTAGGTGGTACTGCCTCAATGGCAGGTGCAGCAGCCGAGGGGATGTTCCATATGGTTAAAACTGAGGCTATGAGGAAGAGAGAAAGACATCAATATGTGGACCTGTGTCATGAATAGTTGTCTCTGTTCAACAGGTATGTGTTCTCACATGTGTGTATGTGTGTGTGTGGTGTGTGTGGTGGGTGGTGTGTGTAGTATATGTGTGGTGTGTATATGTGGTGTGTATATATATATGTGTGGTATGTGTATGTGTGGTATGTGTGGTGTGTGTATATGTGTGTGTGCAGTGTGTGTGTGGTGTGTGTTTATGTATGTGTAATGTGTATGTATGTGAGTGCTGTGTGTGTGTGTGTGTGTGTGTGTGTTTCCCTTCACCCCTGCTACTGTTGAGGTCAACAGCATGATCTCTATTCCCTCAGCTCCTTCACCTTCTCCCTCTTCGGTGCAGTAGAACTTTTTTCCTAGGTGTCTTCACTCATTCATTCTTCTCTGTCCTAAGGTGAATACTCACCTCTTATACTGACCTAAGATGGTGGGGAGTGGATGAAGTCCTTCAGCAAATATGTATTATTGACATGAGCGCAGCCATGTCAAGGACCCCAGTGCCCCAGACCCATGAGAATGGCAATACCTTTCTGGGGGTAGGCTCAGGGATGGCAAAATCCATATATTAGATGTTCCAAATGATTAACCTTAAGCTACAACCAGTGTATGTATGTAGACACTATCACAATGGCTTCCTCCTCCTGGATATCTACAGCTTGAGACTCTTCCTCCTGCTGAGATAAACCAACCCACCTGCCTCCTTGTCCTGCTATACACGATAAATGTGCCTCCTCAACTCAGATGTATAACATAAACTCTAGGCCTCTGTTGGTATGTCTCCATCAGAGCACATGGCCCACCTGATGCCAGTTTTTCTGTACATGTGTCTATGTGTCCAATTTCATGCCCTCGTCACCCTAGTCAGGTTTTCAGGACTCTGCCTTGTGGGATGCTGCTCTGAGTCTTTACATTCTGACCTTTCCCTGCTCTGTCTGCCCATGACTTTTGCCAATCATGGAGCTCACTTTCTCAATGCCTTTGCTGGTTTGTCTTCCTGCCTAGAATTATGCCTCTATAAGGATGGGGATTAATTTGATCCAGCTGTCACCCCAGTACCAATAATAGGCTCAGAAGAAATGTTCCCAGGACACTGTATGTTGAAAGTTTAACTTTGTAACCATGGACATTATTTACTGGGCCAGGTATTTTTTTTTTTTTAGTTACCCTGTGTGGGCATCCCTGCAAGCATCACAGCTGGCAGGGAAACAATCCAGGTGAGTTAAGAATGAAACTTGGTTCAGCCTGACTTAGTTAGCTTGTGCTGGGCCAAACTTCTGTAGTCTGGCACCAGATGGTTTATTTTAGCCATATTTAAGCACAGTACAATTGTGGGAAGAAACTTTCCTGATGACAATTAACTCAGTCCCAAGTGTACAACAAACTTAAGGCATATTTATGTTGAGATCATTTATAAAGTACATATGGCTTCTTCCATAAAGATGCTCAAGATACGAAGGTCTAGGGAGGTTGACTAATGTAAACATAATTCCTGTGCGAGTCAACGTTGTCCTCACCCTAAGATAACTCAGAAGTCACCTAGGCTGCAGTAAAATACAAGTGACATCTCTCACAAGGATAGGTTTATGGATTGAGAAACAATGCTCAAGACTTAGGGAGAAAAGTCTGGGATAAACAAATACAATATTCTGGGGGATTTGGTTGAAGCCTGGCCTTAGAGATAGCAAAGATCACCAGGTCACAAACTAAATTTTCCCCCAGCATTCCAAGAGGAAGACAGGTAAACGTCTCCTTCCTTTGAAGAGATAAGCATGCCTGTTTAACTTTTTCCAGCTCCTCCAGTGCTCATCTGTGTACACAAGGACTTTTACCCTCTACAGCCTTGACACTTTGTGAGAGTCAGTCTTGAGAATATAGAGGCCACTGGGGATTAACCTGGAATAGAGACAGTGGAGTCTTTCCTCTCCTCACCAGTTCCAGTCTTGAGAATATAGAGGCCACTGGGGATTAATCTGGAATATAGACAATGGAGTCTTTCCTCTCCTCACCAGTTCCAGTCTTGAGCACTTCCTGTTGCTGAGCCTCTTGTCCCTCTATTTGTCCTTTCCCCTCAGGGATCAAGAAGAAGCCATTTGTCCCTTATCCAGGGACAGAAAAGTCACCTGAGCAGAGGACCGAGGTTGCCCATAAGGTCACAGAGGGCATGAGCAAACCTGAGACTCAGCTCAGCCAATACACAGAGAGGGTCTCTCTGTACCTTCTACTGAGGATAGTAGAGCCCAGTTCTACTAAACTTCCCACCACCATGCTCAGAAGGGTGGCAAATCCTTCCTCAGGGGGACTAAGTGGGAATATTGACATTGTATGTACAAAATGTCCACATAGTTCTCTCTCCCATGGATATTTATGGCCTGAAGATTGCTTCCCTAAAGAGACTGCTCCTAGATTACTGTTGCCTTGACCCAACTGTTCTCCACAAACCCCGCTTCCTTGTTCAGCTGTATGCAATAGGCCCTCTTCTCTGTTCAACTCTATATAATAAACACACTGTGCTCCTGAGTGCTGGGGTTTCTCCATCAGAGATCCCAGTCCACCCAATCCCAGCTTTCCTGTGTGTCCATCTGTCTTTTCTTCATTCCCTCTCCATCCCAGTCTGGTCCATCCCTGGAGCTATGCTAGACATGGCACAGCCAGTCTATTCATGTTCCTGCTCACTCCCAAGGTGGTTCCCCTCACCTGCAAGCAGGAGCCCCTGCAAGCAGGGGACATGTGTTGGGAGAAGGACTGAGGGGGGCTCCATAGTCTGTTGTCTGCTTAGTCTTGCCTCTGTGGAAAAGAGCTCAGGCTTCAGAACTTCTTCCAAAGCCTGATGGTCCGATGTCAGTTCTGTTGTCCTTTGTCTCTCTGAACTGAGCTCATTATAGGGCTGGACCTTTCAGGGTCACATGGGCTGGTGACAGGGACTGTTGCTAGGACTCTCCCCTGTTCCCTACCCATTTAGACCTGCTTCCTTTCCTCTCGGTTCCCCATCCCCCACAGACTGATGGGAGTCCTTGTCAACTGTCCACCCCAGCACTGATCTCTGCTGTCCTTGGCCTGGGGGCTGTCCTCATCACAGAGGGAGGCCTTGGAGCCCCAAACTAAGGGTGTGTTTCCTTTTGTGACACAGAAAGGCAATAGGTTACCTGGTCTTCTCAGTGTCATCTAGTGCTCTGGGACAGTAGGACTTACTCTCAGCAGGAAGGTGTTAGGGGAGCCTAGGTGGCTCTAGGGCAGACAAATGGGCTGTCTGAATCATGACTGCTTTGGGAGATCATTCCTTTATCTGTCATCAGATTGGTCTATGTTCCTGGACAGAACTTGAGGAACAGAAAAAGATTCGTGTCCTGAAAATGCAAGAGAAGGTGATCTGGATATACTACGAATGGGAGAGCATGGTGGTGGGAAGTTTGATAGAATTGAGCTCTACTATTCTCAGTAGAGGGTGCAGAGAGACCCTCTCTGTGTATTGGCTGAGCTGAGTCTCAGGTTTGCTCATGCCCTCTCTGACCTTATGGGCAACCTCGGTCCTCTGCTCAGGTGACTTTCTTGTAATCTCTCCCTGTGGGTGATACTTGAAGGTAACGGGTTACACAGCTCAGGGAAAGAAAAGGAAGAGCAGAGTAGGCACCTTTGAGGGACTTGTGGTTTGTTAGGTCAAAGTATGGGAACCAGGCTGTGAATCTACCTCTTCATCTAAAGCCAAGTTCATGTCTTGCTGAACATTAATTTGTGTCCTAATTCACCCCCTCAATGTCAAGAGAAGACCCCCTTCTGGTGTCAAGGGCTGCAGCAGGAATGCTGGCCAGGCACCCATTCTCTGAGCTGCCCTGAACCCTGCCTGGTACAGATGGGCTATGACTTCCAGGCTGCAGGCCTGGTCATCCTGACCCTCTTCACTGTGGTCCTTCATTGCTGGGCTCCAGTCTATGTGAGGAAAGTTAGGGAGATCATGCTAGCTGTCTTTAGATCACTGGTCCAGAGCTGGAGAACTAGAGAGATGAGCGGTATCAGAGGAGCTTTGTGCCCCTAGGGTTTCAAAGAAAAATCTGGGTATATGTGTTTTTAGTGTCAAGATGGAGTTTGTGGGGTCTTTTATATGTAAAATCATATCATCTGCAAATAAAGCTTAAAAAAATACATATTAAGAGAGAAGGGGACCAGCTTGGCTTTATGGACTTGGTCAGCTAATGATATCATTCACGAGGGGTCTGAAGATTATCTGGGCAGGTGTGTGTGTGTGTGTGTGTTTATAAGTCTTCCCTATGGTCTGTAGAAGAAGTTATATAGCATATGTAACATGAAATGTATTTAAATCAACTCAGATATACAAATCAATGGTATTAATTACATTAGAATGTTGTCTCCCTGTCTCTACTATTTTTAAAATTTGTCATCTCAACAGGCTTTCTGTTGCCAATAAACAATGATACCTTATGGCTGCCCTACTTCAGGCCCTGTAAACCTGAAATTTGCTTTCCTTATGTGACTTTGTATATTCTTGAACTTTTTTTTTTTTTTTTGTTTTTTGAGACAGGGTTTCTCTGTGTAGTTTTGGTGCCTGTCCTAGATCTCGCTCTGTAGACCGGGCTGGCCTAGAACTCACAGAGATCCACCTGGCTCTGCTTCCCAGATGCTGGGATTAAAGGCATGCGCCACCACTGCCTGGCCCCATTCTTAAGCTTTTATTTACTTGTAATTTTACAATGAATCCCATTTTGTTTCTGATTTATTTCATTCAGGTATTTTTAGATAAATTCAACTTGTGGCTTGTATCTGAATTTTGTCTTGTGGTTTTGTTTTTTTAATTGCATTTATTTGGTAGAGGAGTGGGTGGGTGGAGCTGCCACATTGCTCTTTAGTTTCAGCATGTGGGTCCTGGGGATCAAATCCAGGGCACCAGGCTTGCAGATGGGCACTTTTACTTAGTGAACCAACTCAGCAGGCTCTGAGAACTCTGTCTTTGTATGGCTGATTCATCTTGAAATGTGTGTATGCTTCTCTATTCACCTGGTGATGGACGCATGGCTGTGATCAGGAGTCTGTAACTATCCACCTTGCACATGAAGCTCTAGTGCAATTCTGAGCGTATTTTCCACAGTGGGAGTGCCTGGTGGCTGTCTGTGTTCAGCTGTTAGGAGCTCAGTAGTGTTTCCCGCAGGGGCTCACGTTTCAGATTCCTGCAAGTCATGCCCAAGGAGTGCACCGTTTCCATATCCCACCAATGTTTGTCATTGAGTTGTTTGAGGTATCTAAGAAACCTTGTTAGGTGTGGAGGGGGTCTCATTTGAGTCTGGTTTGTGTTTTTGAAGTAGAATAAGGTAGAAGAGGCCAATTGTTGGGTCCCGATTTATTGATTTCCTTAAGGCACTGCCTGTACTGCCTATTTGCCGAGCGTGCCTTCACCAGCTACCTGAAAGGGAATGACCTGGAGGAATAGCTGAAACAATGGCCGTTCTCCTTAACTACCTGCTGACAGCCACACACGATTCTGTAAAATCTTACTTCCCACTCCACCTTGTGGTTTTAGAGTGTAAAATGAGAATACAAACCAGACCCAGCATCAAAACCTTTCAGGAGCTGTCCTGGGGTCAATCCACGGGTGACATCACCTCTCTTCCACACTCATTGGTGTCCTGGGGTCAGTCCACGGGTGACATCATCTCTCTTCCACTCTCATCGGTGTCCTGGGGTCAGTCCACGGGTGACATCGCCTCTCTTCCACTCCCATTGGTGTCTGGAGTCAGTCCACGGGTGACATCGCCTCTCTTCCACTCCCATTGGTGTCCTAGTGCATATTCCAGGAAGGGTCCCTTGACATTTTCACAACGACTGATGATACTGAGTGCCCTCTCCTGTACCAATGAGCTATTTGTACGTCTCTGGAGACATGTCTACTTAAGTCTTTCCCCATGCTAGGATTATTGTGCCTTATATGAAATAGTAGATTATAATCATACATGCATAGAATGTAGTTTGATGAACTCACCCTCTCTCCTTTCTGTTCCCCCCTTTACCCCTCCATGTCTTTGCTAGTCCACTTCCCTCTCATTTTCTTCCAACCCCCTAAGTTCTGTATATGAGAAAAAACTTATGAGACTCCTCTAAGAGTGGCTTATTTTGTTTAACAGGATGTTCTCTAGTTCCATCCAGTTCTCTGCAAATGACTTAATTTCCTTCCTTTGGCTGAAGATACCCTATTGTGTATGTATTCCACATTTTCATAAAAATTACTTATTAATTTTGTGTGTGTGCACATGCACATGTGAGTGAGTGTGTGTGTGTGTGTGTGTGCGCGCGTGCGTGCGTGCTTGTGCGTGAATATTTGGTCTAGATCTTCGTGCCTTTCAAATGCTGGACAAGCACCATATCACTGAATTATATCCATAGTCCTTATTATTTGATTATTTTTTTGTATTGAGGTAGGGGGTCTGTCTTTGTTGCTCAGTATGGTCTCAAAATACTGGCCTCAAGTAACTCTCTCCAGTCAGCCTTATGAGTAGTTGAAATTACAGATAGCACATCACCACACTTGGTCATAAGTTGTTTTGGGTAAATGTGTGCATTCATGGAGTAACTCCATGAGTAAGTTGTAAAATATTCCTTCCTCTACCAAGTTCCTCTGAGTATCTTCTCAGTTAATTCCACCCCCGAGTTTGAATTCTCAGCATCATTAATTACACCTGTCTATTCATGGCTGCATTGAAATGGGCATTTAAACAGTGCTCATTCATATTTGGCTTGTTTTGCATAGCATGATCTTTTGGAAATACCTAATTATTGGAAATATCTTTCAGAAAAGAGTAGAATTTTGCTGATGTTGCTCAGGATGCTCTGGAAAGAACAGACTCATTTGAGCCCAGGGGTGTGCCACTGAGCCCAGCAAGGTTCATCCATTTTATTTTGCAAGACCTTTAACCCATTAACTACAGAAAAGCATTGATGTCCTAGAGAGAATATGGAGGCAAGAACATACCTCAATATAATAAAGACCCTATACAATAGGCCAGCAGCCAACATCATGCCATGTGAAGGAAAAACCTGAAGCATTCCTACTAAAACCAAGGCAAGACAAGTCCACTCTCTTGTAGTAGGAAGCTGTTTGAGCCATGCCCTAGAGCACTGCCCCTAGTGAGGTAGCAGCTTTTACACCTGCCTATGACCTTGAGGTACATGCCACTGGGGGATCCTTAAGACCTGGGATGCACGTACCCACAGGCTTTGTGACCTCATGGTTTTGGATGCTGGGTCAGACCAGGGCAGAATTCACTAGAGAACTGCATTAGAATGTGGCTCACCTCTCCAGAATTCTGTGACCAATTCCTTTATTCTGGTTGTGATAAATTCCTTTGATCATTAAATAGACTCTGTGGATTAATCCCATTACTCTCTCCACTCCCACTCAATGTAATACTTGAAGACTTAGAGCAATAAGACAACAGATGGTGATACAAGGGATACAAATAGGAAAGGAAGAGGTCAAAGTGTCCTCATTTGTAGATGTTATATACCTTAAAGACCACAGAAAACTCTGACAGCTTACAAACATGCTCAGCAAAATAGTAGGTTACAAAATTAACACCAAAATCAGTAGCCTTCCTGTATACCCAGAATGAACACACAGAGAATGAAATAAGGAAACAATACCATTCACAATAGCCTCAAAAACTATCTTGGGATGAACCTAACCAAGGAAGTGAAAGACCTCTATAACTTCAGAACACTGAAGGAAGAAATGGACAAAGACACCAGAAGATGGAAACACCTACTCTATCTATCGGGTCCCTGTTAATCTCATCACGTGTAATTCATCCAACTGAGCAGCAGCATCTCCCACCCTAAGGTCCAGCACGAGGAAAAGAATGACAGAGCTCTTCAAAGGTGTTAGTGCCCTTCTCACCATTTTGGATCTTGTAGAATTAGTGAAGGGCATGGCTTCTGGGCCTTCCAGTTGTGGAGGATCAGGTTTACACAGCATACCCACTTTAGCATTGCAGTTTCTCCTGAGCCTTAACACTAAGCCAACGGATATGAGGTATCTCCAACTTCAGCCAACCAGTCAAACTTTGGACAACTTCCAAGAACTGTTTTTTTTTTTTTTTTTACTTTAACCATATTAAAGCTAGAATTTCCGTGGCTCATATTGATAAACTCAGCTTGATGGAGTTCCTTCCACAATCATCCCCTACCCTTACTATCCATTCCTATACATGTATTCCCCAGACTTTTCCTTGAATGAAGTAGCAAACTCATTAAGCTCATTAGTGTTGTGGTGTCATGGACTACACTTTCTATTTCCCCTCTAGGAGCCTGCTTTCCTTAAGTCTGGTTATAGGTATAGAGGCAACTATAGGTGGGCCCTGAGGGGCAGCAGTATTGCCTTGCCTGGCATTTCCTTCAGGGAACATCACTGCTGGTATAACAGACAAGGAAGGGTTAATTTCCTCAGCAAAAGCGGAGAAGGCAATATTGCAGCGAGTGGATGTGGGGATGCATCATTTCCAAAGGATGTGAGAGAATGCTTCCTCAAATGAAATAGACCCTTGAGAATCGGAGGTTTCAAAGTCCTCCATCTCAGTACCATCTTTCCAAGTACCTCCATCCCAAGTTATAAGAGTCCACTCCTGGTACCAGTCTGTATTCATCAGGGTTCTCTAAAGGAACAGAACTGGTACACACACACACACACACACACACACACACACACAGGTGTACACACACACGCACATGAACAAGTGCACACAGACAAAATGATAAGATGATCTTGAGAGTTGTGGGCAGAGCAAGGTCACTCAGTGGTGGCAGTATGAAGGCTAGGGTGGTAACTCAGTGGTAGAGTGTGGGTCAAGGTCTAAATAAGCATGTTCAACTCTAAACAAGTCCCTGTATCCTCACAGCCTGTGGTTGTGTGGTGGGAGGCAGGGGAAAGATGCTGTAGCCTTTGGGATTTATCCAGATCACTAGGTCCATTGTTTACTAGTGAGAAGGGGGCCTGTAGGAGAGCTGGAGATGGGGAGGGGTGAGAATGGATGAAGGGCTGAGGAACTTCAGCACGCCACAGTGTTGGCTTTGGGGTGAAGGAAGAAGCCACAGCCCAGGAGAGTAGTCATCCTCAGGGAAGGACTGACAGTGGTAGCCCTAGTGTGTGAGGAGGCTGCAGATGGCCAGCCTGTGGGCCATGTTGGGGAAAACACAACTCGTCCTGCTTCCATGAAGCATAGAGAGGTTTGTGTTGAGAGCCAGGAGGCTCTGTGTGGACACTGGTGTGTGGAGAAAGGAGGTTTGACAGTGAGACCCAGTCGGGGTTGATGTGGAAAATGACAGGATTGGTAGTGTAAAAACTAAGGGCAGTTCTTACAGGACATTTCTGGGGGCTTGAATATGTATATGCCCCACTCTGCTTGGTTAATCTGAGGGGCCTGCTTGGTATGTTCACATAAGTGAAGATGTCCTAAGCGCTGGCTTGTGGGCAGAGGAGAAACTTGGTGTCCAGAGCAGGCCACCCTGGAGTATGAGAGAGTGAGGATGCTGTTTTGGCTGCAAAGCTTATGAGAATTGAATTCTACCTGGTGCATAGTCCCTAATTTCTACCCTGGCTGCAGCTCTTGCCTAGTGGGAGGAAGGGACTAAGCTGGAGCAGCTGTTAGGTGATGTTTCCCCATGTGACAGGGGAGAGTATGTAATTCCATGTGGCTATCTGCTAAGACAAGTCCCTGTGAGAACAGACAGGCAGAGTGATGGGAATGGGTCTCTATTCGGTTCTTTTTCTGGTGACCACTAGGTTCTTCAATGTCCATGAACTCCCCCCCGCCCTTTTTAGAGACAAGGGCCTCGATTTTTCCCATCCAGAGTCCTGGGTAGCCAGCCAAAGTCAAAAGAAACCCAGGTGTTCTACCTTCCCAGGTCCCAGAGCACCCTCCAGACTCAGTCTCCATCTCTGACCTACCTACCGCTGTCTGGGTGCTCAGGGGAACTACCTTTGTCTCCCACACAGCTGCTTCTGGAAGATTCTAAGGAACCTCAGCTTCTGTGTGGTTGATCTGGTCACAAATGTTCATGCCAGGGTTTAATTTTCTTGAGGACAGAAGAATTTCTGAGCCTGTGTCCTCCTGAGAATGGTGTCTAGCATCTCCAGGCTTTGACTTACCCAGAGAACCTCTCTGCCCTGACCTGGCAGTGCTGAGAGCCCTCCTGTCCCCAACCCCCCCCTCTCTGTTAGGATCCCTATCCTGTCCCTTCACTGTTATTTCCCAAATCTCAAAGTTCAGCCAGATGTAGAGTGGGGCAGGCTCTGGGTCACGGGGACAAGAGACTTTTATCACCCTCATTTAGCACACAGACAGAAGTGGCTGCCCTGGGCCTGGGGTTAGGGGCCTCTGTAGGGGAGACAGAGATGTAAGATGACAGGGAGGGAGGTTTTTAGTTACTTGCTTTAGCTTAACCTTGAAAACACATACAAGAGACTCAACAAAGCTTGTCATTGAATGAATTACATAACAGTTTACAAGTTAGTAGCTTTTTTAGGATTAGGATTTTACAACCTTTATCCCTGTTAAGTTTGAGCCTTAAAGATTTGAGTTGAAGATTGAAGGTCAAAATTTGAATTGAAGATCCTTCAGCATCTCCATAAAACTTTAAACCTACAATGCAATAAACTCCAAACTGCAAATGCAGTCCATAGAGAGACTGGGGACTTTCCTTATCTTTTTAATAGTGAACCCTTTAACCTTAGTTAAGATGGCTGCTAACTATGCAATTGTTATTTAAACTATCTTTTAGTAGATCTATTTTTTTAAATAAGAATGGAATCCAAATTACATGTACAGTATATTCTAAACAAGAGTTGAATCCTATATACGGTAAGTTGTAGTAAATTAAGATTACCTGTGTATAGACGTTTTTTTAAGTATAATCCTTTTGTTATCAATTTTAAGCCAATTTTTTGTTACAGATTTAAATTTTTTTTAACCGTACCCAATGAACTTACAAATCTTAAAGTGGATTTAACAGCATAGTGTTAAGAGAATTTTGAGAGCAGAGCACAGAGATATCATAGAAATAAAAGATTTTTTTCAGAGTGGGAAGTAGAGAAGCCTTAGAGAGAAGAGACATTTGGAAGTGGAGGGCAGAGCAGGTTTAGTTAGAAGATATTTGGGATCATTTGTTTGTGCAGTGGTAATTGTTACCACAGGAGAGAATTTGGA